GTAAGTAAATACTTGTCTTATTCGTTCCCTTTTCTTAAGATCTATCATGGAAGCTGTCCTGCTCTCCTTCTCTACTGTTCCAGCCTTTTTCGTGCACCTTCATGTAAAGCCATCAAGCAGTCGAATTACATCATTACATAACGCTTTCTCAACCATTCGTGAATTCGGAAGGTTTCAATAAGTCCGACATGGACTAATGGTATTCTCCATATTCCCTCATTGTACAATTTTCTTTGAATTTTCAAAGTTCTCGTAGTTCTCCGATACCTTTCCATCCAGCCGTAATGATAAATTTCGCCTTTTGTCTGATTTCTGGCTTATTTTTCAAGTAATTCTTTTGCTTGCCTTCCAGCCTTAATGACATATTTTGCCTTTGTCCGATTTCTGGGTCATTTTTTTAAGTAATTCTCCTTATTCTCCTAAAATAAGCGCAGAAGAGTCACTATGAAAATCCTTCCACTTTTTGAAAAACTACGCATGCTCATAATAAACATATTCTGAACGTATCCCACATGGCTTATTGTCTGAGTTCCTCTTTTGTAGGTACTGTAACTGCAGGTAATGCCAGTACTCTTAATGACGGAGCAGCAGCTTTAGTCTTGATGACAAGAGAAGCGGCAGAGAGACTCAATGTGGAACCATTAGCAAGTATCATAGGTAATGATAGATGCTTACGACGTAAGCCGGAAGTGAATTGAAAACAATAGAAAACAAAGGAATGGAAACGAGGCCTAAGGKCCCTTGAGGTGGTCAGATGGCAAATATCAAGGGATTCCCTTCACCTGAATTCAAGAAAAATTCCATGTCAGTAGGAAAAGGACATTTTCTTGCTTCTTGTAAATTCAATAAGAATAGTTTTTAATCCCTAAGTTACTTCCGGTTTATGTCGTAAGCGTGTATAATATAGGCGGATCTTTGTTTACAAAATTTTGCTAATTAGCATAAAGTTTAAATTAAATAAAACGAAAAAAGTAAAAGGTCTTATTGAAAACTATAAACTACGAAAGTTTGAGATCTTTACATGCAATGGTTTATGAAATATTAGCGTTCAAAGATGCTGAGTGGCAAAAGCTCTATTACCTCATATAATCTCTCTAAAAATTGGAGTTTTTAAAACCTCTTGACGCAAAAAGTATTCCATATGAGAAGCTCAAAATTGCGAGGAAAGCTTATTGTGCAATGTTGTTTCAATATTCAGTGCTGATTTACTGATAGTTAGGTTAAAACGTTATATCCTTATGCTAATTATATGTTAATGAACCCAAATGTAAAGAAATTATTCGCCTATACTCAAACGTGCGCTTTGATTGGTGGAAGGAACAACGACAACTACAACAACAAAACACCGATACCACTTACTCTACTTACACTACAGCACATCATCTAACTATGGCAATCCAATATCGGCTTCTATTTTTCTTTTATATCACAGGTTTTGCCGATGCATCTGTTGCACCCATTGATTTCCCAATTGCCCCTGCGGCAGCAATGCCAAAGGTAAACGTGACGTCACATTTGATATTAGCAGAGTGCTTTGCCCTCTTTATTAAGTATATTTGCTTTTGTTTCAGCTTCTAAAACAAACACACCTTAAGAAGGAAGACATCTCAATGTGGGAGATCAATGAAGCTTTTAGTGCTGTTGCACTGGCAAACATCAAGGTACAGTGATGTACAGTACACGACTTTCAAAAATGGCGGTAGTTCAAGATCGCCAATATCGGGGGACTAGTGACGAATCATGAAAACGAGACCTCAAAGGCCTTACATCTAAAAACCATTATGAAGATCGCATGTANATATGAGCGATGTTATTGTAAAAGGTACTTAAGCTGTTAAGGTCCCTTTTGCTCTCGAGTCTCTACGCTAGGCACCACTGGTGGCGGGCGTGTTCTGTAGGGCCTTTTTGCTTTGACAACACTCATGTAGTCTTGCTACTATATATAGCACAAGCGCTCTGACGTCTTGCTACTGATATACCGTAAACCCTAACCCTAGGCTTACCTCTTTGCGAGTGACGCGACGACTCAGACGCGCGTCGATCTGCCATCTCTCCTTTCAAATTAGCACAACCAAGCCGGCAGTCATCGATAACACCTGATCATGACGTCAGCCGTGACGGTGCCTATTAACTTGGAGTCCAGAACTCTGCATTAGAGAGTAAATCAAATCGTCAGTGTGGCGGGTAAAACGCGCATTTTTTACGTAGATTGGCTTCCAAAATACTGCGCTGCACGGATGTTGTTTTGTTGTCATGCGCATGGCTCTCTGGTAGTTGTAGTAAGGTTACGCCATAATGCAAATGGCCTGTTGTTGATGCACCAATCACACGTGGTGTTGACGTCAACATCAAGGATAAAAAAAGGCGCTCAAAGAGCGCATGTGGTTACTCACAATGTTCCTTTTATTTATTGAAGAAAATTTATTTCGCAATTGTTTGGTTTAAAATTAATGAAGTTATATGATATCATTGTGGAAAGTGGCAAATACATGTTTCGTGTAACACAGGAACTACAAACTAGAACAGGAAAAGTTTCTACATCTTAAAGCATATATGACATGGGATCTGTGACTGTAGTTTTATAGGAAGAGATAGTAATACCTTGAATTACAGGTGGAACTAAATATTAGCGGAGCTCGCGCGAGTGGAGAACCATAGCTAAGAAAAAATGGTATATCCATCGAGTCGATTAATCATGGACCGACACAGGGTTTCCGTACTTCTTCCGTCCGTGTACCAGCACAGGAAATCCATACTCCAAAAGCGCCAAAATATTTGTTGAAACATCGAAATTTATTTCTCAAACACTTATCTTCCAAATTGATAATATTTCAAAAAGTAATTACATCAAAAAAATTCCCGCCAATTTTGTAAAAACTACGACGCGTCTGCACATCCGGGAAATCGATTTGCGAAGATGAAAAGCAGTTTACTTTCGTTAAGCATTTTGAGATCTTTGAGGCTGAGTTTTTATGAATAACAGGATAACTTTTCGCTTTGACATTTCGACAACAAGAAAAAGATGGTTCAATTATCGATCCTTTGTGCCGTGTCTATCTTAAATCTGATACAAGCATATGTAGATTATTTGCAGTTAAATCAATTGATGCACAGTTTAACTGATTAAGTTATAATAAGTTCGTCCCACTGAACAAAATCTACCAAAGTCAACGAATTCCGGCAGAGTAGAAAGTTATTTTGTCTTGTATCATTTTTTTTCACTTTTCTTTTCATTCGCAGATATTGTTTACAAGGTATGCATTTTGATTAGGGAAAATTCCCTTGACTAGTAGACTGGAAGAACCCGTTGTTCGTCAAAATACCTCCCTCGGGCGACGAGGCTTATTATGACAACACTGAAGTAAACATGTCTACATAAATCGCAATGGATCTTGGTTTAAGGCATCTAAGAAACTGATTATCTTTCGATAAATTTACAAATTGTCTACATACAAGTCAGTATATCCCAGACGCTAAAGATGGGAGTGACATTCGCGGCATAGTTTCTAGAAACTTCGATAATTTGAAGTAAATAAAGTGTCCTTGGCTGTGCATCAATGAAGCGTTCCCTCATGTGATAGTCATACGACGCTTACAAAAGCACTCCTGTACATGTTTTCGCAATAAAATGCTCTGTCCGACATTTTGCTCTATTTTTTCCTGTTTAGTGCTATTTCTACTGGTGGACACGTTTATCGTTTGTTTCCGCTGACTATAGTGATTACAGGCGTACCAACTGTCTTCCTACGTGGCTCGCTCGGGAAATTGGCTTGTGACTTCGGGGTGTGTTCATATAGCGGTCAGCAGCTAGTCAAAAAACATACTGTCGGAAAACTCATAGTGGTGAACATTTATCGAAAAGTCTGAAAACAGTTGATTAAAATGAAGAAAAAATGAACAAAAAACAGCTGACTTTGTCCAGCTTTCCATTCTTCACAGACAAATGACAGAATATTGATCCAACATAGTTGAAAGAATATAAATATATATATAAAGGAAAATTTCCTTTCATTCGATTCGGAGTCATTGCCTCAAAGCACAATGTGCTTTTATTAGGGAAATTTCCCTCATAGCAGAACCCTTTGTTCATGAAATACCTCCCGTGATGCGCAAAGTTTGATATTGACAAACATACTGCATGTGATCTGTTTTAATATTACTAATTTGACAAGACAACACGCTTGAGCTATTTTCTGCAAGACTTGTTAT